GCTTCAGTGCGAGCTGATGCTCCAGTGGATCATATGCTCCACCGCTTATGACCTTATGACCCTTATGCCCGTTGCGATGACCTTATGACCTTATATCCCTTATGACCTGCTTCCCCCCACAGCTCTACATCTACTCCTGGGGAGGGGGGGTGCTCGTGGCCTTGGGCCCTACGGCCCGTGTGGCCTCTGTGGAGCGCATGCTCCATGGCGAACCTATGCTCCACTGGAGCATGTGCTCCACCGCTTATGCTCCCTGTGTGCCCGCGCTCGTGTGACCCTGCTGGAAAGGACGTCTTCAAAGACAGGAAAGCAAGAAAACTAAGAACCCCAAATCAAGCCTTTTCAAACACAGTAAGAAGCAAGACCAAACAACCTAGGGAAGGCCTGATAAACCACTTCGTATTTGTTATCAGAAAAGAAAGCCGAGCAATCCAGGAAGGCTGGCCGGCCATGCCTCGCACCCACCGCTTCTCCCCAGAAACAGATAAGAACTCGTGAGTCAAAACCTACCTTGAGAACCAAACTAAAAACGAAACGACTAACTAAACGACTGCCCAAATCCAGCATAACAGCGTTCAGGTTGGCCCCTGAAACTGCTCGCGGCATAGGAAGCATGGGCGCTTGGACGGCCTCGAGGCTGTCAGGACGAGAGCGATTGCATTACTCGATTGGCAGAGGGTACGTTTCCTCCAGAATTCTGGAGTGCCTAGCGGCCTTCCTTTCTGCTTCATGCCTGAAACATGGTCGGGAGTCGAAGAAATCTGAGAAATCTTGGAACGTATCTATTATATGTCACCTGACTTCGCGCATCGCTCCCTGGAGAGGGGCAGCTCTCCAGCTCAGGCCGCGACGTGCGAAGCGCGATCTTCTTCGCGTCCCCGGAGGTGGCCCACATGGCCCTGACCTCCTCTTGCTCGTCTGAGAGGTGCCTGGCCTGCCTCCCGAAGCCACCCATCTTGGTCACCGCTCATCTTGGTCACCGTCGATTCGTGGATCATCCTCGCGAATCGGCGACGGCCAGCATGGACCATGACCAAGATCGGAGTCGACGAGATCCCGCGACATCTTGATCGTGGCCATCGTTTTCCTTTCCTAGATCTTGGACGACCCCGTTGTGGCCTGCCTGCCCGAGGGCGAAAACCAAGCTAAACAGCGTTGAGGTCGGTCCCTGGTGGAGCACCTAGTGGCCCTCGTGTCTGCTGCCCGTGTGCATTGTAGAGAATCGAGGAAACCCTGGAACTCCTGGAACGCATGGTTATCTTCCCTGGGAAACGTGGAAGTCCTGGAAATCCTGCCTGGGAATCTCAAGCATCCTCGAACCCCCTGGAATCCTCGGAATCCTGGAAAACCCGTGAATCGGGGAAACCCTGCAAGTCCTGGAAACTCTGGACCTGTCTGGACCTATCTGGACCTCCTCTTGCTCCTCTGCGCGGTGCCCGGCCTGCCTCCCGCGGCGACCCCGACGTCGGCCCCGAAGAGCCGCACGGTGGCCGTGGGCACCGCGGCCTCCGCGCTGGCGGGCGGCTGGGGCCGCCGCGCGGGGCCCGCGCCCTGCGGCGCGGCTGCGGGCGCCTCGGTGGGCTCAGCGGCGCTGGCGCGGCTCGCCCGCTCCTCTCGGGCCGGGCGAACAAAAGTGGACCCGGACCTCCCGCACAGAGGGTGCCGGCCTGCGCGCCCGCCGTTCGCATCACGAGCCAGGTGGAAGGAGATCGCGAGGCAGAACGCCCGATGTCAAGTTGTGTGCATATCTTGACAGGCCGAAGTTCGGTCACGAGTATTGGCACACATCGGGGCGGCGCGGTTTTGCACAATTTCTTCGGCCTCTGGGGGCCCTCGCCCGGCGCCAGAAGCGTCAAAGAACGGCTCGGGATGAAAAGCCGGCCCCAGGTAACGCGTCGGATCCTCTCAGGCCGGACGAACAGGCGAGCGACGAGGAGAAACGGGTCTTACGCGACGAGAAGAAACGGGTCTTACGCGAGGAGAAACGGCATAAACATCAACGGTTGGAGGTCCGCGCTGAGGGGAGCCCAGCACAGACCAAAGAAAATACGCGCGGAGCTCCAAAAGTCTATGCTTATGCAGCTCTTCCGCCTTCGAGAGACATGGCGACCTTCCGCCGCAGCTTGCGCGGGCCGCCAGCGCTGCACGCCACATTGGAAACGAAGGCGCTCAGGCGCAACCTTACGCGCGCAGCTTGCGCGCGAATGTCGGCGCCGTCGACCACGTGTTCTTCCGTCGAACAGTTGGCCCAGACATCCTACGCATATTGGCACAAACCCGGAGGGGCCGCATTGAAGAACATCAAAGCGTCGGGTCCTCCCAGGTCGGGCGACAGCCAGCCAGGCAGGCATTCCCTTCGCGCGTCGCGCCCCGCGCTGCGCGGCTACACCTTCGCGGCCTCGCGGGCTCGCGCCACCGCCCTGGAGAAGGGCACCCCAGCGACCCAGGCCGCGACGCGCGAAGCGCGAACATCGACCCGCGCCTCCCGGTCGGGCGATGCCCAGACCTCGGCTTTCCGCCGCTCTCGGCCTCTGGGAGCCCTCGCCCGACACGGGAAGCGTCAGAGAACGACTCGGGGTGAGAAGCTGGGCCCCCGGGGAAGGGGCCGGGACCTCCGGGGGCCCCGTACGCTGGGGGGGGAGGGGGGGGGGCGACTTCTGGGCCACCGGACTTCGCGCACCGCGCCCCGCAGTGCGCGACGCGCGATCACATTCGCGCCCTCGCCTTGGAGAAGGGCCCCCGCTCTGGCCCAGACCGCGACGCGCGAAGCGCGGCTATCTTCGCATCCCCAGGGGTGGCCTGGGCAGCGAAGGTGGCACGGACACGGATTCGGCCTGCGACCGCCACCGCGCGGGTAGCGCAGAGGGCGGAGCCAAAATACACACAGAAAAGGGCTGCGCGTGCAGAACCAAAATGAAACGCCACGCCGTTACACAGCATACTCTGCGCATTCACCCTCTACCCAGGTTTCCGACGATGCACTTTCTTCAATCACGGCGTTTCCCTTCGATTCTGGCCTCTGCGGCCAGGTACCGGGCCCCAGGGCCATCAAGAACAGATCCAGGGCGAAAAACTACACCTGGGGAAGCGGTCGGGGACCGCGCATTCAAGAATGCCTGTCGTCGGACGTCGATGTATAAGTCCCCAAGCCAGACCATGCATCTGCCACGAGAAGACTGACGGGGCAGTACAGGGGCGGTTAGCGAATCAGCACACACAACTGGTTTTCCCAGCGCCTCCCAGCGCCAGAGGCGCCCGTGAATCGACGAAAGCGCCCACTGGCGGAGCCGAAACAGGCCTCATGCCCAGACATTCGACGTCTTGGATTTCTCAACACGGGGCCCCCAGAAGTCTGACTGGACCGTTTCCTCAGGGCCAGCTCTTCATCCTGAGCGGTTTTTTGGCTGTCCAAGGGCCCGGCGAGGCCCCCCGAGGCCGAAAACTTAGAACATTTCCACATTGACTTTCCCGAGACGTTGGAGGTCTGGTCGCAGCAGACATCAAACCCCCCTTCCCTCGGGGGTCCCAACGCAGTGTGGTGACGGACCGCGCGGTGACCGCGAAATTCCAAGAGACCTCACCGCGCGATCCGTCACCGCATTGTCTCGGGACCTCGGAGGCCCTGGTCGCCCGAGACGTCCTCGGAGAACGACCCGAGCCCCCAAATCGTGTGGCCACCCCGATCCCCACCGACTCCCCCCCAGTGTGGTCACCATACCGCTTGGGGGCCCCCGATCTCCCTATCCCCCCGTTGGTCCGACCCAATCCCCATAGATCTGACGTCTTGACTTTTTCAGCACGGGCTCTCCAGAAGTCCTGGCCCTTTCCCCAGGGCTGGCTTTTCATCTTTAGTCGTTTTCTGACAGCCCTGGAGCCTAGCGAGGGCGGCCGAAAACGTAGAAAAACCTCCGTCCTGATTTTGCCCAGCACGTTTGAGGCCTGGGTCCTCGGCGGCGTCCACTGTGGGGGCGCAGTGGAACGCAGCCTCGGCCGCGCCCCCGGCAGCGCCGCCACCCCGCCGCTCGGCAACCTGCGAACTTCGGGCCGCAGCCACCCGGAGGAAACGGCCACCGGCACCGCCGCCCGCGGCGCCGACTGGCGGGCACGAGACCTCTGGCTCTGCGGCGGCCACCGCGGCGGCCTCTGCGCGGGCAGCGTCGGTGCTGCCAGGCCAGCCGCAGGCGTAGGCCTCTGCCAGGGGCTCCGCAGCGGCGACCGCGGCGGCCTCTGCGCGGGCAGCGGTGTCGATGCTGCCAGGCCCGCCGCAGGCGTAGGCCTGCGCCAGGTCGGCGCCGGCGCCGCCAGGGCCGTCGCAGGCGTACGCCTGGGTGGAGGGCTGCCCCGCCACAACCGCCATGGCACCCCAGCGCTGCCGGACTGCCCCGTCCGCCTCGCTCGGCTGGGGGAACGACCTCTGTGAGTCCGCGCTGCCCTGGCAGTCGTCGCAGGCCTCCGCCGCCTGCCGTGGGCGGGGCACACCCGCGTCTATTTTGTAGCGCTGCCAACTTGCGGCAGCCACACACACACACACACACACACACACACACACACACACACACACACACACACACACACACACACACACACCTGTGTTGGCGGGCATGTTGTGCGATCCCTCTCGGGAGCTCTCGGGGGAGCCCTCGGGAGCCCAACGGAACTGCTGTGATCCCGTGTTGGCCCCGCTACCCAACGGCACTATGTGACCCCGTGTTGGCCATGACCGCCGCTCCAACACCAAGCCCTTGCGACGCGAAGAGAATGGACGGCGGCCACGGCCCCACGGGCCGGGCCCCTGAGCCGCGACCCCGTGGGCACGGGGCGCGCTTTCCCGGATGCCCCGCGCGGAACGCACCCACACGACGACCGCGCACCCACGGGACCGCGCCCCAGAGCCCGGACTGCGAGGGTGTGGGCCCTGGATGTGCTCGCCGCTGGCGAGCCTGCCCCGGCGGCGGCCTCGGCCCCTCGTCCCCGGAGCCCTCCCCGGCGCCGACCACCACGGGCGCCGCGGGCCCGTCGCCGAGTGGCTCGGCGGGCCGCCGGAGGCCCCCGAGGGGCGCCTCGGCGGCGCCGCCGCGGCAGCCCGCCCACGGCGCGGCGTCCTCGGCCGCGAGCGCCTCTTCGCAGAGGCGGCCGGCGCGTCGCGCGGCTGCGGCCCCTGCGCGCCGCGGCCTGAAGGCGCCGCCCTCGTGCGCGGGCAGCGTGGGGTCGCTGGGCCTGCCGCGGCTGAAGGGGAAGAGCGCGGCCAGGTCCGCGTCGAAGCCAGAGCTGGGGCAGAGGTAGAGGGTCGAGAACTCCAGCAGCACGCTCTCTTCGCCACCGAAACTCACGGCTCCCTGCACTGCCGGCTCGTGGCCCTCGCCCCGCAGGTGCTGGTAGACCGCGTAGCCCTTTGCGGCGTTCTCGAAGCTCTTCTTCTCGAAATATCGCTTCTCAGCCCTGCTCTCCACCTCCTCGATGGCCAAGTGCATCTCGCGCCCGGGAGCGGTGCCCCAGAGACTGCGGAGCCACTCGGGCTTGTCGGGGTCGGCCGCCTCCAGAAGCCGCACGGCGCCTCTGAAGTCGAAGCTCTGCCCCTGCAGCTTCGCCCAGCAGCCCGCCCCAAACAGCCTGTCCACGCCTTGAGGGATGGCAGGCTCGGGCAGCCACGATACGACCACGGGGAGTCCCTGGTCGGCCCACTCGCGGGCCTGGCCGAGGTGCTTCTCGCGCTCTTCGGGCGTGGGTGAACTACCCCTTACGCCCTTCACCCAGACGAGCTCTGGCACTGCCAGCCCGGCACCGACCTGCGTGTCCGCATACGCCTTGATGTACCGCTGGAACCCGCTGCCCCACGGATCGCCGTCGACCACCACGCAGTCCGGGCGGAATCGCTCCAGGGCCTGGACGGCGGCCTCGTCCTGCCGCTGCTGCACACCCCACTCCACCCCGAAGCCGCTGCCGAAGCCCTTGACATGGAGCGCGCGCCTCCCAGACAGGTGCTCCCGCACCTCCCCCGGAGTCTCCAGGACGCGGAGCTCCTCCCGGCAGCCGAGCGCCGTCCCTGAGATTCGGCGTTGCGAGAAAAAACGGCCACATTGCGAGAAAACCCTCACGGCCGGAGCCCTATGACCCCATCGATCCGTGATGGCCCCAGGGCCCAAATCTGGGCGAAAACGCCAAGCGCGGCACGAGTGCAACGTCTGGATCTCAGGGGACGCCGCGCGCGCGCTCCTCCACCCAGGCGCTCTGACGCGGGCTTCCCCCCAACGGCCCGGTCGGGTGCGCGCCGAGCGGGGGCCCGGGTGGCAGCTGCGCCAGCGGGCTGTCCCAGCGCCCGCATGCCGCCCCCATTGCGCCGCCAGGCTCCAGCGGGGAAACCGCCACGCGGCCTGCGGCGGGCTCCGCGGCGCAGCCGACCAGAAACTCGCGCGCTGGGCGCGGGGCGCCCGCCTCGTGCCGCGCCGGGTGCTCGCGCCCCGCTCCGAGACCTCGCGCAAGGTGCCACGTCGGCCGTGCCACGCCCTCGTGCCACGTGCCTCCAGCGCCCGCCTCGTGCCACGCTGGGAGCTCATCTCGCCGCGGAAGCCCTGGGCTGGCGTCCACGACGGGCTCGGGCGTCGCGAGCAGCACCGCCGAGACCTGCGCGCCGCCGCCGCAGTGATGAGCGGGTGGACCGGCGCCCGGCGCGCTGAAGAGCCGCCGCTGCACGAGCGCGCCCGGCGGCGCAGACGCCGCCCTGCAGACGGCCGCCGCGGCGCTCGGGGAGCGTGGCTCGGCGCTCGCCCTCCTCCTGGGCAGCGGCCCCGCGGCTGAGGCGACGGCCGTGGCCACCACTGCCTCGAAGCTGCCTCGGGCGCTGTGGGGTGGAGAGGTGGCCCGCGCTGGCGCCAGCGCCTGCGCCTCCAGCCACCGCGCGGCGTGCGTCCCTGCAGCGCGCGCGGGCACCGTAGCGACTGGCGCCCTCGCGAGCGGCAGGGCCGGCTGGCCGGCCCAAGCGCGCGCCACTGTGGGCGACCCGTGGCGAGGCGGCGCGGCCCACGCGGCGCGCGGCGTGCGGGCACCGCCGTGGAGGAGCACCTGCTGCGGCTGCGGTTGTGGCTGCGGAGCGGGCAGCGCCCGTGTGGGCACCGCCGAGGGCAGCGGACCCGCGCAGGCGGGCGCGGCCAGCTGCACCCGCGGGGTGCCCGCGGCCGCGCTGGCCGCCGCTGACCATAGCGGGGCCGAGCGGGACCTCCGCACCAGGAGCGGTGCGGCGGCGCCTCGGGCCTGCGCGGCCTGCGCCGCCTGCGCGGTGATGACGGCGGCCCCTGGCGCAGCGCACGCCCGCGGCGTGACGACGGAGGCCCAGCCGCCGCCAAGCCCCGGCGACGGCGGCCTGGCCGCCGCCACAGCCCGCACGGTGGCCGCGGTGGCCCGCGGGCTGGCGGCCCAGCCGCCGTGCTGCGGGCAGCAGGCCCAGCACCCGTGCTGCCCGAACGCCGCGCTCATGGCCGCGGGGGCGGCTACGGGCACCCCGCCAACGACACGGGCGTGCAGCCGTCGGCCCGGGTCTCAGGAGGGCCGCTGGATGGGGTGAGGGAGAGGGGATGGGGGAGGAGGGATCGGTACATGGCAGAAGCGCCTGGGATCAGTCTAGAGGGGAGCACTCGAGGTGATGGGAAGAGGCAGCGTCTCGGGGGTAGGCTGCGTCCACATGCGGCCGCAACACGTATGTCGACACGCGCCCCACACGTTTAGTGGCCCTATGAGGAACGCCAGCTGAGTCCCCAGTGGGTGCATCCACATGCCCCTTCAGCACACTCTTTACACGCTTCGTTGCCCCAGAGGGAGCTCCACCTAAAGCCTCAGTGGGTGCGTCCACATGCGTCCGCCCCACAGATTTTGGCACACCCCATCGCACTTCTCGGCGCACCCATCACACGCTAAAGGGCCCCAAAGGGAACTCCACCTGAAGCTGGCCCACCCGTTTCGGCGCACCCTCCACACTTTTCGTGTGCAGTACAAAGCTCAAGGTCCCGCGAGGCCACAGAGAGAGTTCTTCGTAAAGCTCGAGTGGGTGCGCTTCACTCCTTCCGAGGCCGCACGGGGAGCTCCACATGAGGCTGGTCCACCCAATTTCGCCGCACCACACGTGGTGTCCACATGTGCCCCCCCCGCCCTTTTCGGCACACCACTCGCGCGTTTCGTGGCCCCATGCGTCCACACACGGCCGCCCCACCCCTGCCAGCACACCCCTCACACGCTTCGTCGCGGCCCCCCCAAAGGGAGTTCCACTTCAGGCCCCAGCGGGTGCGTCCACATGCGGCGGCCCCGCCCACCTCGGCGCACCCGTCGCACTTTTCGTGGCTGCGTAAGGAGCTCCGCGTAAAGCCCCAATGACTGCGCTCACATGTGACCGCCCGGTACTTCTCAGCGCATCCCTCACACGCTTAATGGCCCCATACTGAGCTCCACCTGAAGCTGGCCCACCCATTTTGCCGCACCACTCACACTTTCCGTGTACCATGCGGAGGTCCACCTGAGGCCCCAATGTGTGTTGTATAAGATACAATGAGTTTTTCGGGCCTCCACCTCTCACCCCTTCCCCCTCCCCGACATTTCCCTTGGACATCGGGGGGGGGCGGGGAGCAGCTGAAGCGCCGTCTGTATAACGTGTTATGCATGTGTTCTCCGTCTCAAGTTCTTTGTGGGCTCAAGCGTTCATGCCTATTTCGCTTGAGCTGGATTCAGTCGGCTCGACATCTCCTTCCCGCGCGGGCAGCGCGATATCCTCTGCTGGCTCGCCGTGGGAGCTGGTGGGCTCGGAGTGCGAGGAGCTCCCGGTCTTTCTTGCTGGGCAGGCGCTGTGCCTGCCAGAAGGCGGGGGTCGAATCCTCGCGACGGCGCGCTGCGGCGGGCCGCTCCTGGTGTTCCTCTGGACGCTCGTGACGGTGGTCCGCGACCCGCCGAGCCCCGAGGAGGAGCCGCTGGAGGGTGAGGAGTTCACGCCCGAGCGGGTGATGCCAGTGGAGGTATGGAGCAGGCGCTACTATCGCCGGAGCGCGACGGATGGCGTGGAGATCTTCCTTGTTCGACGGAAGACAGGAAATTGCTGGGCAGCCCTGTTGCCCGACCTATCAATGGGGACCATCACGATCACTGCGAAGACGACGGTCTTCGCCGACCCCGTGCCAGGCATCCGCTGGCAGGCTCTACCAGCACTCAGCCAGGTGCAGAAGGACAGCTTCATGCAGCAGGCCACGGACGGACTGCGAGCAGGGACCATTCCACCTTTGGAGTTGTACCGACCGGGGCGTCAGGCTCAGCAGGCGGTCGCCGTCAACGTGGTCTATGCCGTGGCCAGTTCTGCACGCTCTTCGTTGCGTACGGTGCGGTGGGCGCTGCGCTCGCCGTATCGGTTGCTGGGCTTGCTGGCGCTGGGCTTCGTGCTGTTCGAGGCTCTGAAGTACCTGGGGGTGGTGGACATGATCGTGGAGACCTGGCTCGCTTTCGTGAGTTGGATGGTGACCTGCAGGGACACGCTCATCGAGTCGTCCGAGACAATCCAGGAGTGGGTGTCGTACGGTGGCGAGTGGTTGGAGTGGGCTCGAAAGCTCATGCCGCTGCGGCGCTGGGCGGCCTTGCTGCTGGCCCTCATCCTGCTCATGATCTGGGGAGCTCACGAGATGCAGGAGGCGGAGGAGGCAGGTCATTCATCAGTGGCCTCGTCCTCTGCATCGTCGGTGGTCGGAGACGTTGGAGGAGCCGCGGGCGTGGCGCCTCCGCTGCCGCCGCCGGTCGCGGCTCCGCCGCCCGCGGCGGCTCCGCCCGACGCCGCGCTCGTGGCCCAGTTGGACGACTTGGCCGAGTCCCAGAGAGCGATGGCGGCGGAGCTGAACGAGATCAGGATTGCCGAACGTGCACGGGAGCTGAGGCGGTCGGCCATGGTGTCGTCGAGCGTAGACCGCGGTGCCGAGGCGGCGGCTGCCAACCAGCTGCAGATCCAGTCCATGCTGAGTCGCCTCGACGAGTTCGAGGCTCGCTTGCAGGGAGGTGCGGCGGCGGGGTCCCCTGCGGCTGCCGCGGCCCCCTCTCCTGCCACCCCCGCGGGCGCGGCGGAGGGTCCCACCTCGCCTGCGCGCGCGGACGCGACGGTGCTGATGGAGACTCCGGACAAGCGTGCTGCTTCGGAGCCGGCCGAGGCGGTGTCCCTGGCCATCAAGCGGATGAGGTTCAAGGCTCAGATGCCGCAGCAGGTCTTCTTGGAGCAGCTGGAGGACTTCAAGGAGTGCCCAGCGTCAGAGTGGGCGACCAAGATGCCCGAGGGCTACAGAGAGAGGATCGCCCCGGACGTGCTCTCGGAGGTCTACTCGACGGGGAAGACGGCGGAGGCCTGGGCGAGGGACTTCATCCGGGACCGGGGCCTCACCGACTGCAACACCGCTCGGGAGATGATCGCGACCTTCGCGGCCGTGGACACCATGCTCATGACGGACCGCCAGAAGGGGCTCTTGAATCAGGTGAGCTTCGAGAGGCTGGTGCGAAAGGGTTACGCGTTGGTGAGGGCCTACCGCAACGTGCACTGCCGCGACGACTGGAGCAGGCCCAAGGACTCCAAGAGCTGGAAGTCCAAGGTCGACTGGGAGGCGGCGCGGCGTTTGGACCCGCAGCTGGCGGACGAGAGCACGATCAGGGTCATGAGTGCGGAGGAGGAGGTGAAGAAGGCCATGGGTCGGGACGCGCAGTTGATCAAGGCGCGCACGGACCTGGACGGCGGGGGTGCGAGCCCGCCGTGAGCCCCAGAGAACGCCATACTGGGCTCACTGGCGAAGGTCCGCCAGGAGCCCCTGCACGCGAGCGGCCCCGTCCCCGTGGCCGGTCAAGTTTTCCCTTCTACTTCTTGTTTTCGAGTCTGTGGGACTTCGGTAAGAGCGTCGGGTTCCAGCAGGTGATCTACTGCACGACGAATTGGGCTATTCATGTCGAGGAGGCGGGACATCCTGTCGGAGGTGATGCTCATTCCACGACCGGAGAGGCCAACGTCGAGCTCACGGCGGGTGCTCTCACGCTGGCGGGAGGAGTTGGACATCGCGCAGCGGGCCAATCGGTGCTTGCTGGGACTTCGCCAGCTCTACCGTGGGACGTTTGGCGACGAGCTCTTGCATCCTGGGGAGATCTGGGGTCAGGGGCCACTGCCCAGCACCATGGACGGGGACCTCTCGATGCGTGTGCTGGAGGAGGTACGTCGCCTACCACCGCCCCCCTCGACGCCCGAGCGAGGAGCCGCGATCCTGCGGCTGCGTCCCGCCGCTACGGCGGCGGAGAACCAATCCCGGTCGACCTATACCCAACGGTTGGCCGAGTTGCGGAGGAGGTGTGCTGGTGGACAGGTACGACTGCCAGACCGGGGCGAAACGTTTCCCGCCCATTGGGAGCGGGTCGCTCTTCCCCCTCCGGGCTCAATGCCGGTGAGTGCGAGGTCTGTGTCGCCGAGAGTGGCTCAGATGCTAGACGATTTCCGGAGGGAGATGCTGAAGGAGGACGGCGAGGAGTGCGTCAGGGCCGCGGAGGTGAAGAACTACGTGGACCCGCACTTCCGCCGAAAGAAGGACATGCTGATGCTGGCCAGGCGCATGGCTCTGGCCGGGATGTTGTGCCGCTGCGAGTCGAAGGTGGACGAGGTTGGGCTTTTCTGTGTGGTGAAGAAGGCCGAGATCGTGGACGGCGAGCCCTTGGTGTCGTTGCGCTTGGTGTTCGACCAGCGGCGCTCCAACTTACGATGGCGGTCGCCGCCGTGGTGTGCCATGGGCGGTGTCAGTGCCATGTCGTTCCTGGACGTGTCCGAGGAGATGATGGAGGAGGGCGCTCGGATGGTCTTTGGGACTGGCGACCTCCCCGACTTCTACTACACGTTGGACTTGGGCGAGGCCATCGCGCCCTACTTCGTGCTGCCTGGGGTCCGGGCTTCGGAGCTTCTCGACGTTCTCCCCTCGGACGCCTGCCTGAGTGGGTTGGGCGAGCACGTTGGTGTGCGGGTGGCGCTGATGGGCTTTTCTTGGGCCTGCTGGATGGCCCAGACGACCATGGAGGACCTGTTCAACTCTGGTCCCTCCCTGGGTATGCCCGCTCTCGCCGAGGAGCAGCGGCTGGCAGAAGGCGGTCCGCTGCCCCTGATCAGTCGAGAGGTTCCCGCGGCCCACTACGAGTACATCGACGACTTCGGCATCATCGGGGTGGACTACCCTCCCGTCGCCGACGCCGAGCCGCCCACGCAGGTCAGGGACATCTGGTTGGGAGCCAAGTACTTGGTGAACGCCGCGGGCTTCAATGTGCACAAGGACGACTGCTCGGGGCAGGCTCGGATGATCGGCGGGGACTTTGTGGGGACCCGCCTCGCCCCGAACCAGGACAAGATGTGGTTGGCCGTGGCCGGGGTGAACGAGATCCTCAGGCAGCGGTCGGAGTTCCCGGACGCGGTGGCCAAGATCGTGGGTATCCTGTCCTGGGGCTTTCTGATCACTCGAGGGGCCCTGAGCATCTTCTCGGAGGTCTACCACTGGTGCATGGAGTTCCGAGGGGGCCCCCGCCGTCGGCTGCCCGACGAGGTCCTTCGCGAGCTGGCCTTGGCAGCGGCGGTGGTGCCGTTGGTGTCTGTCGACTTGGCCATGCCCTGGGACCCCACGGTGACGATGTTCGACGCGAGCCTCTACGGCGGAGCTATCATATCTGCCCAGGCCGACACCCAGGAGATGCGTCGCGAGGCTCGCTTTGCTGTCAGAGGAGGTTGGACCGTCTGGACTGGCATCTCGTCTTCCTGGGCGGCGGACTCGTGGGCAGAAGGCGAGGCGTATCGGCGAGTCGCCGAGGGCGTCGAGCTCGGGACGCGCGTGAGAGTCCCTCCGGTGCACGCTTGCTGGGACGACATGTCGAGGTGGAAGGAGGTGGTCCGCTGGCGCTGGGACGAGAAGGAGCACATCAACCTTCTGGAGATGAGGACGGGCCTGGCGGCGGTGAGGCACTCCGCTCGGTCGCGTGCGAGCTGGGGCCGCCGTCACCTTCGCATCACCGACTCCATGGTGTGCCTGGGCGGCTTCAGCAAGGGCAGGTCAGCCAGCAAGGCGATCCTCATCTTGTGCCGCCGGATGGCCGCGATCGACCTGGGCTGCGGCATGAGGGAGTACTGGCGCTGGGTGCCGTCCGACCGCAACCACAGCGACGGCCCCAGCCGGGGCTTCCCGATCGGGCAGGCGCCGAAGGAGCGACTGCAGGGCGAGACCGTGCTGCCCGCCGAGACGGGTCAGGTGATCGAGGAGCTGGCGGACATCGCGGAGGAGGATCCGTTCGCGCCGCTGCGGCTGGGCTGGCCCGTGAGGGCGAAGGTGCTGCGCTTCCTGCACCTCTGCAGCGGCCACACGCGCTCGGGCGACTTGGAGTTCTGGCTCGCGCGTCTCGCGGCCCGTCGGGGGTATGTGATGCAGTGCACGAACGTGGACATCGGGTTCGGGCCGGAGTTCGACCTGTCCGAGGAGGTGAACGTGCGGAGGCTGGAGCTGCTCGCCGAGCTGGAGGTGGATGGAGGCCATGCTGGGCCCTCGTGCGCTACGTGGTCGAGGGTGCGCTTCCAGCCAGGAGGACCTCCCCCTGTGCGCCTCCGCTCGCACCCCTGGGGCCGTCCAGGTCTGCATGGCGCCGACTTGAGGAAGGTGGAGATGGGCTCGGCGCAGTTGTTGAGCAGCCTGCGCGTGCTCAGGGCGATTGGCCTCCGAGGTGGCTCGGTCTCGCTGGAGCACCCTGCCGACCCAGGGAAGCCTCCGTTTCCCTCGATCTTCGCGACGCCGGAGGTGCTGGAGTGGGAGGAGACTCTCGGGGCCTACAGGGTGACCTTCCCTCAGTGCATGTGGGGCTGCCCCGCTCTCAAGTTGACCACCATCTCGGGAACAGCCAAGCACCTGCAGCGGTTCATTCGCCCATGTATTCACAAGAACCACATGGCGAGCTTGTGCGGGAAGGACGAGACTGGCCGCTTCAGGACGCGGGTAGCCCAGGCTTACTCGTCCGAGCTCTGCCGCATGCTGGCGGAGTGCCACCTGGACGCTATGCTGGACGGGCGCGAGCGGCGCGAGGCGTAGTTCACAGAGAGGGCCGTGGAGCTGCTGATCAAGGAGACGCTCGAGCGGAGGCGGCGCGACATCCGGGACATCGACGTGCTGCCCGCCTCCTTCCTGGAGGCCTCAGGCTGACCGTCTCCGGGTCCAGCCTCAGCGCCTTGGCCTGCTGCTTCCTCCCTCGGGTTTGCCATGGGATGCCGCTCGCCGATGGTCGCCTGCGTCACCACTCCCAGGATCGGCGGATGCACGCCACCAACCGACGAAATGAGAGTCAGAGAGCTGGACCCTCTGGTCCCATGCAGACCTCGGAGGCGGGGCTGTCACTTCTGCCCTACTCGGTGGCCAAGAAGACGGCTCTCAACTGCTACGTGCCCAACGTGCGGCGCTTCCTGGAGTTCGCGTTGGACCTCGACCTGCCCATGATGAGCAGGGAGGAGATCGACAATTCCATCCTGGTCTACTTAGACTACCTGGTCGAGGACGAGGAGGTGGGCCCGCACAGGGGCGACTACGTGGTGCATGGCATGGCGTTCGTCTGGCCCGAGCTGTCTACGGGCCTCCCGCGCGCCAATCGGGCTCTGCGGGCATGGCACAAGATGCACGTGGCCGGCGAGGGTGGGCCTCAGCCGCTCGAGGTGTGGGCTGCCCTGGACGAGGCCATGAGGCTGGCCGGGTCCGTGGAGGCCGCAGATGCAGCAGCGCTGGCGGTCGACGCCTACCTCCGCTCGGCTGAGGTCTTCGCGCTGCGAGTCGAGGACATCGTGGACGCCGATGAGGACGTGGTGGCGATCAAGCTCGGGGTGCAGGAGCGGAACGAGCGCACCAAGACCGGGGTGAGGCAGGGCGTGCTGATCGACCGCCCGCACGTCGCCACCATGCTTCGGGCGCGCAAGGCCGCCAAGAAGCCGGGCGAGTTGGTGTTCGGCTGCTCGGTGGAGGCCTACCGCCGTGCTCTTCGGAAGGAGAGCGACGACATCGGCATCGCCGCCTTCCCCGCCCACTCCGCGAGGCACTCGGGCCCCAGCCACGACGCGGCGGAGGGCTACAGGACGGTGTGGGCCATCCAGCGGCGCGGCCGCTGGGCTTCGGAGAAGTCGGTGCTGCGCTACATGAAGACGCACGCCCTGGTGGCAGCGAGGGCGGCCGTGCCTGCCGCCGTCATGGCGCGCGGTCGGGAGCTCCTGGCCAGGCAGGCGCCGCGCCCGGAGAAGGCGCGAGAGTGAATGGATCAGTTCAATCATCAGTTCAATCGTTTAATTGCGAGTCGGAGGCAGATCGACTACGGCTAATGTGGCAATCCCGCCCACCCAGAGCCCTGTGCCACATGATCCAGGCGCTGTGCGTACCAGCGGTGTGATGGGATTGTGAGTCCAGAGCGAGTTCATCGCTTCGCCTGTCGCTCAGCCGGCTCGTCTCTGGATTTCTGCAAAGGAAGCCGCCGCCCACGGCGGCACCGTGATCATCTGTCAGGACCGAAAATCGTCCTGCCTACTGCTTGCTGCCTCGGGGTCCTGACTTCTGAATGGCTGGCGCCGTTCCGCTGCTCCCGTCTATTGGGGTGAGGTTTTCGGTGGTGAGCCTCTAAATGTGTGTTGTATAAGATACAATGAGTTTTTCGGGCCTCCACCTCTCACCCCTTCCCCCTCCCCGACATTTCCCTTGGACATCGGGGGGGGGCGGGGAGCAGCTGAAGCGCCGTCTGTATAACGTGTTATGCATGTGTTCTCCGTCTCAAGTTCTCCCTGTTCCCTCCCTCCCCTCTTTCGTCTTCGTACCTTTCTGCCTCCTCCTCGGTATTGGGGATTGTGAGTCCAGAGCGAGTTCATCGCTTCGCCTGTCGCTCAGCCGGCTCGTCTCTGGATTTCTGCAAAGGAAGCCGCCGCCCACGGCGGCACCGTGATCATCTGTCAGGACCGAAAATCGTCCTGCCTACTGCTTGCTGCCTCGGGGTCCTGACTTCTGAATGGCTGGCGCCGTTCCGCTGCTCCCGTCTAGTGGGGTGAGGTTTTCGGTGGTGAGCCTCTAAATGGGTCGTCCACATGCTGCCGCCCTGCCCATGACGGCACACCCCTCACACGCTATATGGAGCTCCACCTGAAGCCCCAGCGCGTACTTCCAGTTGCCCCCTCCCCTGTGGGGAGCTGCCCCTCTTCTGTCCCATCTACCTCTTCTGTCCCATCTACTTTACGGTACTCACACTTGTATCTGGTTGGGCCCTTCGCCCAGATATGGCGTTTGATTTCGGGTTGCCGCCGTGGTGCCATGTAGGTGATGCCTGACGGCTGATGCCTGATGATGCACCAATGTGCGCCATTTCTGGTTGCCACACTGGTGCCCATGATGCTCCAGTTGTCGCGGTCTGTATACCTTGTAGGGAATGCCATACGTCCGACTGGTACTCTATGATGCCCCAATTGACTCAATTTCTGGTAACCGCTTGGGGATGGTAGATCTTAACCGTGAGAAGAAGTTCGCTTAACCGTGAGTGATTGAGTGCACGCTGTGAGCGCACGCTGTGGTGAGCGCACGCTGTGAGTGCACGCTGTGGTGAGCGCACGCTGTGAGTGCATGCTGTGAGCCCACACAGTGGCGAGTACACACTGTGAGAGCACGCTGCGGTGAGCCCACGCTGTGAGTGCACGCTGTGAGTGCACGCGGCGTCGAGGGCTCGCTGAGCTGATGAGCCCGCTCGCACAGCCTGCGCTCGCAGCGTGCACTCACAGCGTGCACTCACAGCGTGGGCTCACAGCGTGGGCTAGCAGCGTGGGCTCGCAGCGTGGGCTTGCAGCGCGGGCTCGCAGTGTGGGCTCGCAGCGTGGGCTCGCAGTGCGGACTCGCAGCGTGAGCTCATAGCGTGGGCTCAACTCAGCGTGCACTCACAGCGTGGGCTCACTGCGTGGGCTCAACTCAGCGTGCACTCACAGCGTGCACTCGCAGCGTGGGCTCAACACAGCGTGGGCTCACAGCGTGCTGTCACAGCGTGGGCTCACAGCGTGGTCTCAACACAGCGTGCACTCACAGCGTGCACTCACAGCGTGGGCAAAACACAGCGTGGGCTCACAGCGTGGGCTCACAGCGTGGGCTCACAGCGTGGGCTCACAGCGTGGACTCACAGCGTGGGCTCGCGTGGACTCAGAGCGTGGGCTCGCAGCGTGGGCTCACAGCGTGGGCTCACCACGGCGGGCACGCACAGCAGCGTGGACCAATCACGCTGTGAGTGCACGCTGTGAGTGCACGCTGTGAGCGCACGCTGCGCGCCACCCAGTGAGAAAGACCGTGAGCGCACGCTGTGAGTGCACGCTGTGGGCCCGACGGAATCTCGATTTGCTTACGCGCTGGATTTCTCCGCGCGGTCCGAGAGTGATTTCCTCTGTGGTGTTTGTGTGTGTGTGTGTGCGTGCGTTTGTGTGTGGTGGTGTTGGTGGTGGTGCGAGTGGTGGTGGCGGTGATTGTGGTGGTGGTGGTGGTGGTGGCGTTGATGGTGGCGGTATCGTTAGCGGTGGTGGTGGTTGTGGTGGTGGGGAAGTGAGGGGTGTGTGTGGTTCGACCGGAAGAGGTGCGCTTTCGACCCGCAGATCAAAAAGTGTGTGTGTGTGTGTGTGTGCGTGCGTGCGTGTGTGCGTAGTGTGTGTTGTGCGGTGTGAGGCGTGCGGTGTGCGGTGGGCGGTGTGTGGTGTATGGTGATGGGTGGTGTCTGTGTGAATGTGTGGTGTGTGCGGTGTGCGGTGTGGTGTGTGGTGTGTGGTGTGTGGTGTGTGGCGTGTGGTGTGTTGTGTGTGGTGTATTGCGGGTGGTGTGTTGCGTGTGGTGTGTTGCGTGTGGTGTGCTGCGTGTGGAGTGTTGCGTGCGGTATGTTGCGTGTCGTGTGTGCGTGTGGTGTGTTGCGTGTGGTGTGTGGCATGTGGTGTGTTGCGTGTGGTATGTTGCGTGTGGTGTGTTGCGTGAGGTGTGTATGTGTGTGGTGTGTGGTGTGTTGCGTGTAGTGTGCTGCGTGTGGAGTGTTGCATGTGGTATGTTGCGTGTGGTGTGTTGCGTGAGGTGTGTTGCGCGCGGTATGTTGCGTGTCGTGTGTGTGTGTGGCGTGTGGTGTGTTGCGTGTGGTGTGTTGCATGTGGTGTGTTGCGTGTGGTGTCGGCGTGTTGCGTGTGGTGTGTTGCGTGCGGTGTGTTGCGTGTGCGGTGTGTTGCGTGTGGTGTTGCGTGGGCTCACAAATTGGGCTCACAGCGTGCGTTCACAGCGCGGGTTCACCGCGAAGGCTCACAGCGTGGGCTCACAGCGTGAGCTCACAGCGTGGGCCCACAGCTTGGGCTCGCAGCGTGGGCTCGCAGCGTGGGCTCACAGCGTGGGCCCACAGCGTGGGCTCGCAGCGTGAGCTCACAGCGTGGGCCCACAGCTTGGGCTCGCAGCGTGGGCTCGCAGCGTGGGCTCTAAGCGTGGGCTCACAGCGTGGGCTCGCAGCGTGGGCTCGCAGCGTGGGCTTGCAGCGTGGGCTCGCAGCGTAGGCTCGCAGCGTGGGCTCGCAGAGCGGACTCGCAGCGTGAGCTCACAGCGTGGGCTCACGCACTCACAGCGTGGGCCCACAGCGTGGGCTCAACACAGCTTGCACTAACAGCGTAGGCTCACAGCGTGGGCTCCACACAGCGTGCACTCACAGCGTGCACTCACAGCGTGCACTCACAGCGTGGGCTCAACACAGCGTGCAGTCACAGCGTGGGCTCACAGCGTACACCCAACACAGCGTGCACTCACAGCGTGGGCTCAACACAACGTGGGCTCAACACAGCGCCGGCTCACAGCGTGGGGCCACAGCGTGGGCTCACAGCGTGGGGTCACAGCGTGGGCACAGAGCGTAGGCCCACAGCGTGGGTTCACAGCGTGCACTCATAGCGTGGGCTCACAGCGTGGGCTCAACACAGCGTGCACTCACAGCGTGGGCTCAACACAGCGTGGGCTCACACCGTGGGTTCACAGCGTGGGCTCACAACGTGCGCTCACAACGTGCACTCACAACGTACACTCACAGCCAGCACGGTTAAGCGAATGTCCACTCACGGTTAAGCGAATTTTCACTCACAGTTTGGATTCACCTTCCCGCTTGGGTGTCCTATGGGCTCTGCAATTGCCCCAATCGT